TGATGATGATGAAACAACAGGGAGAACGAAATGATCAAAATCCATGTTTCTTTTCTGAAAATATTAACTAAAAATTAGATCTTGCAGTTTATCTTAGGGGGGAAAATATCTGGCCATGTAATGTAATAGAGTATTTAGAGATTGTTGCGGAACTTACGACAGGAGAGGTGTTCTGTTTTTGTTTTGTACTTTATTAGGAAGAACTGATTCTGTATTAGAAGAGTGCTGGAGAGAGGAGCTTCCTTACATCTGTGAACTTTGAAGGAAAAGCTTTATTTCTGAGGCAGTGTCACGCACCTATATTTGGTATGATAAAATGCCTTTGCTGTTGTAGAGTATGATTCAAATTAACTGCTAGCTTAACTGTTTTCTTCCTTAATACAAAAAGGTAATTTATTTTGATTTTTTTTTTCCTTATAGATCTTTGTTGTGTAGACAGCTGTAGCTCAAAATAGCTGTTTCTTCCAGAGATGTTATTCAGAGCATGTTACTCTACGGCTTTTCTTTGGTATTCTGAAAACTCACAGCTGAATGAGGATTGGACAGGCAGGTAAGAAGGAGATGGGAAACAGTGGAAACCTTAGCCCTGCCCGTCATGTCTCAGCTTGGACAAACTAAACCTGTTCAGGGAGTCTCTCTTAACAGAGATTTTCCTCAGCTTCGTACTTCAGGTGTGAGCCTGCAAAACTTCAGCATGTCCCTGGCCACAGACATGATTAAGGGACTGGAGCATCTTTCATTTGAGGCTGAGAGCTGGGACTATGCAGTCTGGAGAAAAGAAGGCTCAAGGGGATCTTATCAATACCTATAAATACATGATGGGAGGGAATGAAGAAGAGGGAGCCAGACTCTTCTCAGTAGTGCCCACTGACAGGACAAGAGGCAGTGGACACAAAAATGATGAATCTCAGTCTTAACACAGGAAAACTTTTACTGTGAGGGTGATCAAACACTACAACAGGTTGCCTGGAGAGGTTGTGGAGTCTCCATCTGTGGAGCTTCTCAAAACCTGGCTGGACAGTCTGCTTTAGCTGACCCTGTTGGAGCAGGGGGATTGGACTAGATGGACTAGATGATCTCTAGATCAACCTAAATGATTCTATGATTCCATGGTTTGAAACTACATGGTGGTATCTTTGTGTGAAACAGCAGAAAAATAGTTGCTTGGGACGTTGTTCTTTCAAAGAGCATCTTAAAATTAGGAAGTAACTCTGGCAAAAGTGTTCCTGCTAACAGAAAGGCAGATTTGGAGAATATTTGTGGATTACAAATTGATTCCACATTAAAATTTCATGAGTATCTTAGTTATGTCTATGTCTGTACGTTTCTGGTGAAATGGGAGCAGAGAAGGGGAGTTAATCAGTTAATGTTGAGCACTCTACAATGTATTTGAGTTTGGAGTTTTTGAACAAGATACACACTAGTTCTGTGGACCAAACATCCTATCTGTCCTTGTTTTTTGAAAATATGCAAAGACTGGTCTGAACCATTACATCTTTCAGGGGTTAAACCATGTTTCTGCTGGAGCAGAACTTCCAGTTCAGGTTCCTCTAAAAGGATTTTATTTTGCATGCGCAAGAGATGCTCTGCAAAGCAAACTAAAGCTCTGTGAGGAAGATCAAGGAGAGGATATTCACTTCAAAACTGCCCTGTTTGCTCTAAACCAAAATGCAAATGTACAGGCAACCAAATAGTACTAAGTGCAGGTTTGTGCTCTTTTTTGAATTTCCCTCTAATTTCAATTACTTTATTCTCTGTTGGTTATTTCTCTGTTTTTTTTCTACTCTCTTGACATTTTTAATTTCTCTTGTGTCTGATGGGAGACTTTGCCCTTGAGTAAGAACTGCATCCTGATGCATGTATTTCTGAATTGCATTGTTGGTCTTTTTACTACTTTAAGTATTACTGTTAAGATTTTCTTGTGAAACTCTTGTATTGACTGTTCACGCTAGGATAAAACTCTATAGACATTTGAAACAAATTTGGATACAAAATTTTTAAGGGAAGAATGATGTCAGCTTTCCCTTTCTCTTCTAGATAGGCTTCTTTGGTTTAAATTGAGATTTATTACCTGATGTTCTTTTGTTGTGCAGCTGACTGATAAGGACGTTTATTTTAGCAGCTTTTCAAATGAATGTAGAAAAAAAGCTACTTCTTGTGGTGCATGTGTCTGAGTGAAGGGTTTATGCTGCTTCAGATCAGTGAAGGAAAAATGAAATGCCCCTGCTGGTATGCTTTCTGGAGGGCTAATGAGGTAGAGGAGGATCTCTCAGATTTCTTGTAGAAGCCCCCTCTTCTACAAAAGCCCTGGAGATTTTGCTTTTTCTTTTTGGTAACAGATAGTTTGAAGACCATGATTTAAAAAAAGAAAGTGTTTAAAAAAGTATATTGCAAGCAATGATGTGAAAAATACACTTTTGGATAAATCTGGTAAGAACAAATTTATTATTCCCCCAAAATGTGAGCAAAATTCACCTAGTTTTATCAAACCCTGTAAAAACAGAAACTGTCAAGACCTCTTACATATACTTCAAGGTTTTGGGGTTTTTTTCTGTGTAACACTGTATGAATGATGAGAAAAAGTTTAAATAAAAAAAAAAAAAAGTGAGACCTGTTAGGTCGTTGGTGTAGTCTTTGACCTAACTACAGCATATTAAAATAGCAAGAAACTGTCTTTGTTTTACACAAAGGTTCTTTTGTATGGCTTTTGGTTCTGTGACTTTGATTGCAAGTTTTGGTACAACTGTAAATTAAAAAAATCTGAATAAAAAAATTTATGTTACTACCTGAAAATCTGACCTACATTGTGAGGATGAATGGATAATAACATGACAGACAAAATCCATTTTAGTATTTGTAATAAATTCTTAAACCAAGTTGTATCCTTCACTTCAACTCTTTTTCACGCCTTTTGTTGGGAAATGCAGAATGAATAGGGATTTGTTGGATTCATTCACGTCAAGTATAGTACATCCACATTTCTTCTCATCACACGACAGCCCCGATGTGATTGTACAACAGGAGCTGACTCCTGCCTGCCCTGTGCCAGTGGGGTGGCTGTGCAGCACAGCTGTGCTGCTGACCGTGCTGCAAGAGCAGCGGAAGTGGGGGTGAAAAAGCCTGCTGCAAGTTCTATGGCTGCTATTTTTTCTGTTTCTTCTTCCCTACCAAATTTGCAGCATGAGTGAAGTTGGATTCTTTTGTGTTTTGCAGGAAGCCAGTGAAGATCTGATTACAAAACTAATGTTAACTGGAGAAGGGCTCGGGTGCTTCAGGGCTTTTCTTCCCCCTCTTCTGTCTTGTGGGCTAGTTTAACAGATAATAATACATCTTACATATGTGCCTTTATGACCTGTGGCTCAGTTCTTTGTTTCGGTCTTCTCAGGAGTTTTTTCAGAGAACCTTTAAAGACGGTCGAGGCTCCTGTCACCATATTCTTTCACATAATCTAACCTAATGACAACCTAACAGAGTAGGTAGTAACAGAGTAGTCTTCCTTTTTTCCCCCTAGGTGCAGGGCTCAAATGGATTTATTTATTTAGTTAATTATTTTTCATCATGGCCAAAGAAAAGTATTCCTTTAAATCTCTCTAAGGAATGGACTGTTATGTGTAATGGTACTCATTGTTCAGCGGCACACGTATCTTCTAGACCTTAAGTTTGGTGAATTCACAAGTTACATTTATATAGTGATGTGAAAGTGGGAGGCATTTTAGGCATTTATTAGGTGAGTACAGCTAAGCAACCTCTTTGCTCTGAACCAATACATGCTATTTCTTGGTGGCATTGAATTCACAATTCCTGTTCTGCTACTTTTGTAAATAAGAGTAAAACTAATATTGAAACGGAGTATAGCTTATTTTACTCTTATGCATAACGCCTTGTTTAACTTTTTTCTTTTTAACAATGGCAGTTCAGATGGAGGGTAACATGATTGAGAGGCGAGATCATTCCGGGTATAGAACTTGACTTTTCACTGCTCAGTTCAGTTTCATACTCTTTAGTTCATTAAGCTCTTAAAATGCAGTACTTCATATCACTTCATAATCACAGCCTTGGAAAAATTACAGTGAAGGTATTGTAAGTGGACTAGGTATATAGAGTGATGATAAGATACCCCAAGCAGACCTGAAAGCCACAGGACTTGTGAGGAAAACCTAAGTTCTGCAAACTAGACCAGAGATACTTTCTTTGCATTTCACATTTGATGCCCATTCAAACTGATACATTGTAGGTTTTAAGTAGCATATTTTATGAGATATTCAATGTGTTTTGGGGTCAGAACTGAGTGTTTTTAGCTTGTTTACTTGTTTGTTTTAGGTTGAGCTGTATTTATTAAGTTGTCTCTGTGTGTTGGTTGTTCCCCCCCTATACCCTTCTTTTTTAGCACACTTAAGCAGGATAATTTTGCGGTGTGTGAGAAGTAAATTCTGCACCAGAGAATAACATCTGTTTACTCCCAAGAATCTGTTAATCAAGCTCACCAGTTGTCACCCGACACTAAGGGGACAGACAGGTTCTTTTAAGGATCCTTGGCAGAATGATGATGGCACTAAAACATAGTTACAATTAAAGCTTTATTTTCTTAATAAGGTATTATGATTAGTATAATACAGAACTTATGATTGGAACGGCACAGGATTTCTACAAGCAGAATCAGTATAGTACAATTTATAAGTAGTGTATTACAGAATCTATAATACAACTTAACTTAGTATTTCTCATCACCTGGATCCTCTGCAGATCGGGTCAAATCTTAGTACATGGTTTGCTGTATCAGTATAACAATCACAATCTAGACTTGAAAGTCATATAAAAGCATATGAGTCACTCAGTCCTCGGAGGAAGCAGATGACGGTGGAGGCCTCCCTGGCCACCGGGGGTCACGGGTCTCGTTGTCCAGCAGCAGCTCTGGTCCAAGTTCCCCACTTAGGACTTGGAACTGCTTGATTTTGTGGGCAGTGCTCTGTGTGCTCTTGTGCTTCCCTGTCCTGTGACAGGGGCGTCACCACCACTGGGTTGGCTGGGTGCCTGGGACCTTCAAGGCCGGTAAGGAAGGGAGTAATCGGCCTGGTGCCCAGGAATCTTTGAGGCCGGTAGGGAGGGGAAGAAGAAATCTGTTTGGCTTGTCTACTTGGTTCATAGGACCTTCAGGGCCTGATAATGAGGGGAAAGGGAATGAATATGTGACCTACCCAGTTACAAAGAATGGCTGCTTGCCTTATAAAGTGGTGTTAGTTATGCTAACCACATTACCAGGGGTCAGGAGCAGGGGGTACTGGTCACACCAATCTTACCCTGACACCTCCACAAGGCAAATTCCAGTTCAGATGATTGCAAATTCTGAAATAGTGGTGATTGTGGATTTTTTTTTTTATAAACACTTTTTGACTTACAAATGACGCTTCTTATGAAGGTATTTGAGATGTGGAGCAGAGCAAAAGGTAGTGTTTATATCTTGGGCAGTGTTTGTAATATGGGGTTTGCCTAGAACAGTCTAATTTGGGTTGCTATAGTTCCCTTTCAACTTTTTTTCTAGATGACTTATCTTCTCCCTGACTTGTCATTTAAAATGGATAACACCTGCTGAAAGTGGACTGCTTTTGTTTAGGTTTTCCTTACCTGCTGTGGTGCTGACACTTCCTTGGTGCGGATTGCTAACGAATGGGAAGATGCTCTCATACCAGATCTGGAAATGTACCAGGCTTCCTGTGAGCTCCACAGCTAGTGTGTAAGAGGACTCAAGGCCATGGAGTACTTGGTGAAAAGATAATTTTGGTGATGACACACACAGATGGGCATTAAACTGTCTGGATGTTTGGCATCACTCCACTTCCCTTTGCAACACATCTACACCTTTCTTTCAGTGTCAAGTACCAAGGTGTGCTTGGAGTATGTGCAGCTTCCTATTCAAAGGCAAAAAGAGAAGCATTGTCTTTACTGTTTCTGATGCACTTCTAAAAGTTGATCCTCAACTTCATAGCACCTTATCTTACCCAAAAGACTTGAATTCCTCTGTAGGTACCCTCTTAAAAAAAGAGCAGGAATGTGTTTTTGTCCTGTGCCTTTTCTTATTTTTGTGATTGATGGGGCTAAAAGTTTTCCAGTGTTGAAATGCAGGGCTGTCAGGTAGGTTGCTAACCATGTCTCTTGCTATGGTGTTGTCACTTTGAACACTAATCATGATAGTACAGGGGGATAAAACCATGTTCTGCGCTAAATATAGTGTATTGGATTGGAAAAATGGTATGCTATACTACTGTAGCTTCAACGGCAAGACTGTGTGCAGTGTTTGACATGACTGTATGGGGTAACAGGATGTATTTCTCTAGTAGTGAGGCATGGCTTTATTTCTACCAAGCTTCAACAGAAGGTGTGATTTTACCCCCCTAGGCGTTATTGTTTCTTCTATGTGCTTAACAAAAACAGTGCCTGTATTTTTAGTAGTCATTTATTTTACTTGTTTCAATAGCGTTGCACCTGAAAGGAGGTTGTAGTGAGGTGGGTGTTGGTCTCTTCTCCCAAGTAGTTAGCCATAGGACGAGAGGAAATGGGCTCAAGCTGCACCAGGGGAGGTTTAGATTGAATATTAGGAAAAATTTCTTCACGGAAAGGGTAGGCAAGCATTGGAACAGGCTGCCCAGAAAGGTGGTAGAGTCACCATCCCTGGAGGTGTTCAAAAAATGGGTAGACATGGCACTTGGGGACATGGTTTAGTGGGCATGGTGGTGTTGGGTTGATGATCGGACTGATGATCTTGGAGATCCTTTCCAATCTTAATGATTCCTAGTTTTTACTTTCATGAAAAATGATCCAGCCACCAAGCCAGGAAACACGGGGTTGCTACTGTACCCTTAACCGGTTTAGTGGTGGATTTGGTAATGTTAGGTTAATGGTTGGACTGGATGATCTTAAAGGCCTTTTCCAACCTAAACTATTCTATGATTCTAAATAAAAGCTTTCTGACAAGGAAAAAAAAAATATTCTCTCAGGCTGGGGTTTAACATCAGCACTTCTTGTTGGTCTTTCTTGAGAGAGTTGGGATGGGAACAGAGGGAGGGGGCAGTCATGAGGTGGAAGGAGGTAGTGGGCATAGTCTCTGTTTTTCTTTCCTCCCTTTCCAAACTGTGTGCTTATTGCCAGGTTTACTTGAATGCCCTAGACATAGTTAATGCTCATCCTTGGACTTTCCAATCTGATCTTAATGTGTTGATGGCATTGTACCAAGCTGACAAGTGCTGAGCTCTGTATGGCCCTACACAGAAGTGTCCTTACCAAGAAAGTGTCTGAAAGTGAAAAGCCATCACTTAGGCTGATACTTTATTTCAAAGCTCAACACAGTCACTATTAAATAAACCTATGTCTAATCTAAATATATCTGGTTTCACTTTCCAGCAACAGATTTCTTTAATGCCGTTGCCAGTCAGAGTAGAGCTCTTTTTAACCATGACTGGTGGTGATAGCTGATTATTTTTCAGCTAAGACAGACATTTCAGAAGGGTTCCTGCAATATAGTGTGTCTGGGCTCACCGGTGGAAGGAAGGCAGACTTTTATGTTTTCCACATCATTGGTATAGGTTCTCCACTTTCTTGTACAGTATTGATTTGTCTTCTTTCCTAAAGAATTAGTTTGTCATTGGTAGTTATTTGCTGTACTCTGATACTAGAAACCTCTGCATTCAAGAAGGTAGATTGCTGTTCTCATGTGCTTTTGGCAGAGGAATTTCTTTATTCTGTTGTGCAGATTTGACAAGGAGGGAGTTGTAACATAGTACTGCACAGCAAACCTCAAAATATTTCCTATAATTTATCTAGCCAAAACATCTGATATAACCAGTCTTTTTACTATTTTAGTGAGGGTGGGGGGAAATAAAGAGGAGAGTTCAAAAAGCTTAGTCATTCCCTTCTGCCCCTGTTTTTCTTGTATGTAGGGTTTTACTGCTCATTGTGAATCCCCCTCCCTTTTTTTTTTTTTTTTTTTCTGTGTGGAGAATATGATGTCTGGTTAACGCTGAAGCTTGCTGTATCTTAGGCTTAGTACAGGTTGGCTCAACACTTGCACAGAAAATACCTTGTAGATTTTCTATAATGCATAATAGTTTTGATATGGACATTTAGGCTACTTCTCTAAGACTTCAGTGGGATCACAGAAGTGTTTGTAGACCTTTATCATCTTTGTAGAGTTTTTTCTAGATTATTTATGCAACATAGTTTTGAAAAGTAGTATGGGATAAGCTAGACCTCAGAGATTTTGTGTAAGCTATTCTCCCACAAAAAGGTATAAACAACAATTGAATAACCCTGTGATTCTGTAGCCATAATGGTGATGTTTTTAAATGTCCAACTGCAGAACAAATTAATTTTGTATAGCTCCATGAAGAATTAATGAGATTAATTGTTGAATGATAAAAATGCAGAAGTAGCAGTTCTATGTATTTCTCGGAACACTTAGTGTATTTTAAGTGAATTATGTCATCATCCTAACAGCTAGGATAAACAAACTAGTATCTAGGTGAGTTAGAGGGGGGAGATTAGATCCCAGCATGAATTAAGAACACAAAGTGGGCAGGAATTGTTAGTAAATTGTATTTATGTGGTTATCCTGGAGTTCTTAAGAACACAAGCATTTAGGTGGTGTGAAAATGGAGAGAGAAATCATGAGTTCGTTTTCTGAGAAGTTTCTGAAAGATTTAGAGTTTAGTATGGTGGTCTAAATGAGCTTTAATGAGCTGATTTATAACTTAATCAATGGAAGTAATATGAAAGAAAATGAGTAATACTGAAAGATCTTTAGAGTATTGTGGGGTAAAAGCTAGAAACCAAAAGAAATTAAAGGTTCTTCATTCTCTGTTTCTTAATCAAAAGTATTGCTTTGCCATCAACAGAATTGATTCTTTCAGGACTGAAGAGACTAGTTCTGCACAATGCTGCCATGGAGCATGTTGAAGTACTGATCAGTTCATAACACATACATAGTAATGCTGGAAATATGCTACACAGTATTGCATTCAATATAGAACATATACAACATAGCTTTCAAAGCTTCTATGTAAGTGCAGATGCTTTGCATGTTACATAAAAAAACCCACATGTTTTTTATGAGTGGAAACCTAAGCTAGATGGCATTTGTGCAGGCACAGTTTGTGTGCATTCTGCTCTTTGCAAAAGGAATCCTGCAGTTACATTGCATATAAGAATGCATTTAAGCATTACTGAGGTGACTGTTCTTCACAACTGGACTGTCTGAAAGATTAAATAAAAATACTTTCATAGCTTCTTCATCCATTTTCATAGATTTTATTCTACTTAGTACTGGCTTCTTTTACAGACAGTTACAATTCTTGGATTTGAGGCTGACTTAAATTTTTTCTGCACTAATCAGCTACATCTAATAGGAGGTTCCTATATGTTGGGGGAGCAGAAGAGGTGTATAAAAATGCAGATGGTATAGGTTGGTATGTAAGAGTTTGCATAGGTTCTGAGATAACATATTTAGTGTTCTCCAATTACGACTGCTGTCTAACCCTTCAGATAGCAAGAAGACTTACTGTTACCAACAAATTGCATCCTCCTCTTCAGAGATTAGGTAGAAGAACCATGGGGTTGAGGAAGATGTCTTTGGGTAGAGTGTCTGAAGGGACCTAATGAATGCAGAAATATTTAAATGAGTTTTGTGTTGGAATACTGTAGAGTAACACTGAGCTACTAAAAAAAAAAAAAAAGACTTGGTGAATCATTATGGGATAATGAGGTTACTGACTTTTGGTTTTGAGAAGAAAATTGAAAGGAATAGTTCTAGACCTAGAACTATTAGTAGTAGAGTTACTGCACAGTGATGAATGAGTGGAGAGTGTGAGACCTTTATACATAACAGGGAATAAGCATATGACACTTTGATGAAGAAGGATGTGTGCATGTGCAATGTGCAAGTGATATGGTCCAGCCATCTCACCTAACTGCCTGTCTTTTTGAGACTTGACTAGTAGAGGGTAGATAAAACTAAAATGTCAATGTCAGTTGTTGATCTTGCTTGTTGATCTTGCTTGTTCAAAGATCCTTCTTTTCTTTGCCAGCTGGAGACAGGTTCTGCGAGGGTTAAACTCCGGGGCAGGGCGGAAGAGAGAGAAAGAGAAAGAAAATATCTTTATGTCAGATTTAGAACAACTTGAAGGAACTTACTCAGTTAGGCTTAAATCCTGGATAAGTTTTGTGTTTGTGGGGTTTTCATATGCTTTCCGTGAAGCATGTGCAAAGTGGAATGCAGAAAACTGCTTTTACGTTATATCCTTTCAGAAGTGAAGTATGGCCATATGTAATAGCTCTTGAGAAGGTTTCTATTGCATGAACCAAAATAGTTAAAAGCAGTTCTAATGGCTTGCTGCACTGAGGGCACGATGTTAAGGAATGCATGTTTCATAGCATGAAGGAACAGGTTGGCTGTAAGGGCATGCTTACACTAGAGAGAAGGATGGCAGCAAAAAATGTGAGAACAAGATGAAACTCTCTGACTTGATGCCTACTACTCCCATTTCACAATAGGCAACTTGATGTGGACTGAAATTGCATTTTTTCACTGCTAACTTTTGAAATTGGCAAAGAGAACTTGTCTGTAGCAGGAAAACAACTTTTTCCAGTAGTAGAAAAAAAAAATCTTTCTTACAAAGCTGTTGGTTTTTTGAGTCTGACCACTGGTAATCCTTTGTTTTGTTCTTCTGCAGGAGACAGCTGGATGTCAAGGCTTCATAGTTTACCCAACCTGAGCTTTTGTTACACTAGATCAGTTTTCTAAATAGAGACTGGATGCTAAAACCAGTCTGTGCTTTAGCTGTGGTGTAGTTAGTATGCTCTCTGCTGTGAAGGTTAGGTTTTGGAAGACTCGTAAGTAAGGTTCAGCATACCTGAAGAAGTCATGGCTTCTGACAAGGAATGGTTGACTGTAACCTGTTCTATGCAATCATTTCCTGTGACCCTAATTTGTTATGCTGAATGGTTGTCTGTGACAATTTTGTTTTACTGTATGGTAGTGCATTACTCATGTAGTCTGTTATCTGTTGACTGAAACGCTTATCTAAGTTGTCCTGTTTATAACAGATACTTTGCTGGAACACTTCACATTTCTGCTTGTTTAGTAGACTAGAAAAGGGCATCTCTTTATTGACACAAAAGGAGTCTTCTGACCAGATGGGAAAACTGCAGATTTTCCTCATCTTTATCCCCAGTTGTTCACCTTGTGAGCCAGAGGAGAGGGGAACATCTTTTAAGAGGAAGAGCCACTAAGTGCCTGGCTCCTACTTCAGTACTTGAAACTGCTTTTTCAAATAGGTTTTATATGTAGGTCCCACTGAGAAGGCAGGCTGCACAGATTGCCTTTACTATCAAAATACTATATTGTGTAGAGTATTCAAAAGGCAGGAGAAAGAAGAAACCGAGGTAGATTGGCTTTATTCTGAACATAGAAAGCTTTTTACATTGTCAATGTATCATATTCTTGTGGTGAAGAATATCACACTGCAAGTCATCTCTGAGGAGAAAACACAGGGAAGTGCACTGAAAGGCTTTTCATATAAATAAACTTCAAACTCTAGGTTAATGTCTTAAAATCTCGCATCTCGTCCTCTTTCAGTAGGCAGAAGAGGAACAGATCTTCAACTTGTGCATAAGGATAGCTCAGAATTAATTTTGCAGTCAAGACTTTCTAAATAGTAGTAAGCACATAGTCTTTGGTTTGGGGTCTCACAGAACTTAAGCAAGTGATATAGTGGGGTGGGGTCAGGGATGTGACAGGACTCTTTTATAATCTAATTTTTCCAAAATGTTTTGAAGTGTTACTTACTGTCATTTTGCTTTAACTTGAGGAAGCAGTCAGGATTTCATCCTGCCGTTGGCTGAAAAATTTTTCTGTGTGCTTTTTCTGTTTGTCCTTTATATGGCCTTTGTATATGAATCTATTTTGAAAGTGAAGATCTGGTTGTTTCCTTCAAGTAGATAAAACTACTGGCATAGATGAAAAAGATACATCAAGGAAAATCTTGGTCTTTGTTCCTGTATCCTTAATAGCTAAAAATTTGGTTTCTTCCCCTGCCTCAACCTGCAGTTGTGTATCCAAAGTAACAAGAGGATTTGTGTCTTGATGTCTACCAAATGAGAACTTCATTAAAGTGATGTAGATGAGTCCTGTTTGAGCTGAATTGTGCTGACTTGGTGATTCCTTCCTTGGGATGTCTTATTTAATTTTTAAAATCTCTTAATTCCTTTGTTACTTACGTTATTGGAATTTTTAAAGGCTTTGATCTGTAAGTAGACAGAACAGGACATGTCAATATTTGTCTGTGACCGCATCCTGCAAAAAGATGACTACTTAGTCCTGTTGAGACTTTTTTTTTTTTAAGATGAGCTCAGAAGTTTGTAATGAAATTCATACACTGGGGTAAAAAACTTTGTGATTTGAGTGAAAACATCGTGTGAACAAACAATGCATGAAAATAGCTAAGCAAACAGCAATTAAAATACGGACAATAACTTTCAGTCATGAGGTATTGTCGGTGCTGTTTTCAGATGTGCAGAGGCAAAAGCTCTCAATTGTTCTTAAGTCGGCTGGTAACTGAATCCACATTTGTAGAGCTTGACAACAAAAGGCTTTTTGTTCACAGTTTGTATTCATCTAGGATGTGCCAATTACTGAGCATAAATAGAACATAGTGTATGAGCAGGCCAATATAACACGTTGATCAATTTGTGACTTACCAGAAATCTGTAATTTATGTTAAAATCATTAGAATTACAGGTAGAAACTACTCGTTGGGAGATTTTAGATTTCTGCATGAATGAGCAAGATGTGATTACTTGGAGGAAGCGCACACTGCTGTATTTGATGCGGCAGCAAGATGTGCAACCCGGGCAAAACTCTTCCTGAATATTACTTGCAATCATTTCATTAATTTAGTGAGGCAATACTGCCTGGGGCAAAGCCAGTAGGTGCTTGATAAAAGAAGCAACAAGACCTTTACTCCTGCTGTTTGCAAATGAAGCATACTAAAGAAAATTATTCTAATGCTTTCCCCAAAATTTGTTCTATTCCACCAGGCTTTGTTATCAGTGTAGTTGTATGACCAAATGTGATTTGCATCATGACTGACTTTCTCTGCTGGGCTATTCAGCAACATGCATCATCTTATTTTTGTTGTGATACTTATGCCTCCCACGTTTTTTACAAGAATCAGCATGGGTTTTGTAGGTTGTTGCCCTAATCATGATG